ATTGATGTGGCTGAAGTTAGCTTCAGATTTAAATCCACAACAGATTCAGATTTATAAAATTACAGATTCAGATTTTGGTGTTTGCGGGATTAGGTTAGTCTCGAAAAAAGAGATCGGGACATGGCACCTACTTTTTTCGTATCTCTTATAGTTTCTGAGATAACCTATAATAACACCCAAATTTGCCCACCCTGTACAGTGTGTTAATTAATTATCGTACCCAGTAAGCAACCAAATACGCAAATCGCGTATTGCAATACCACTACTGTGATATTGGTTGCATACTTGCAATGATGACGTCATAGTGATAATTAATTAACACTCTGTATAGTTTACAAAACTATACTCTGTTTTTAAACCAGGAGGAGTAAACGCGAAAGTCAGATTTACACTAGGAAAAATCACCAGAAAATATCACTAGATATTTTGGCGGTAAATTTAAATTAATAATTATTATTATTTATTTATTTACTTATTATTGTATTTATTTTCGTTTGTTATCGTCAACACTATACATACAAATTAACATTGAAGTTATGAGTGTATTTATTTCAAAATACAATAAAGAAGGGTTTAAGAACACAAAATTTATAATAATGACACGAAACTGTCGAATAGTCAATAACCTAACCTTCAAATTCAAAATCAAAATTTAAAATTGCCTGTGTGTGAACCTTCCTCGCATTCAACCAATCACGTGCAAGGTCAATCTGGTGACAAATTTAAAATACTCCTCCTGGTTTAAAAACAGAGTATAGTAGAAGCCTAGGGAGTCAAATCTTATCGAAAGCTTGTGATAACTTAAGTAATAAGGCGAGACAGAATATCATTCTCTATATATATTCGCTGATTCTACATACTTGGTATCTGCTAGATAACCGTTAAGTGACGTCAAAGTAACAGATAAAGTCAGGTAAGCTCTCTTCGGGGTAGGTCTTCGGCAATTATGGGTAGCATCTACAAGAACTACCATTCTGACAAGTGGTAAACCCCCATGTCCATCCGACACTGTACAGGGTGTCCTTTTATCACAAATGCTATGGATGCATGAAGCATCTGTCCACAAGCTGATGTAAACTTGCATAATATGCATTCTTGGTTCGAGCAAAACCCTCATAGCTTTCACACCTTTATCTATTGGGTAGACTAAACGATCTGACTTTTCAAGAAAAACCAATAACCAGGGAAAATATGACAAAACACTAAATACCAGTAGATTAAATAAATGTGTTTTGGTTTATTTTGTTTTATTATCATTGTTGATATTTCATTGATCCGTTGGCATTTCAACACGCCTCAAAAGTAGTTTTGAAGCAGTTCTAAGCTTGGATAAAGTGTGAAGGAAGGTTCTAGATAATAAAATTTTTGTTCTCTCTTATTTGTTTCCTATGGTAACTTGATCCGATTAAGATATACAAATTTTTAACATTTTCTTTTATAATTCGAGAATGAATGGAGATATCGAGATGCGGTTTTCACTAATATTTAGCAAATTTGATGGTGATTAACGTTTCATTTAACTTTTTTTCAAAAATCACATAAATATGCAACCGCTGCAGATAACGCCCTCTAGCTTAATTGTTTTAAACCAAGCGGTCTTACTGAAAATATCTTTTAAAAGAGCATGAAATGCTCTTTCAAACAAGACCAAAAATATTCAAATCGGTTGAATGGTCCCTGTATAGCTGAGAGGGTTCTGGGACTGAGATTCGATCCCAGAACCCCTTAGCTATACTACTTGCAAGGCTTAATGATTTATTCCTCCTAAATGTAACAAACCAGTTACGTGAGACACCTGTATATACAGGGTGTCTCAGAGGAACCGGTCATTAGAAGTTTCTGGGGTTTTGGCCAAAATAAAAATTTGAGAATTCAGACTTAAGTATAATCAATTGCGTTCTCTTTGACTAAAATATTTTCCGGTTATACCGGAAGTGCAAGAATTCATTGAGAAGGCTTGTTTTCCATGGCACACTAGGTTAATATCGATATATGTGAGCATTTTTCAAAAAACCCTAATTATTTCCCAAACTATTAATGTTAGGCATAAGACATGTGGAGTATCAAAGATGTAAAATAAGGCGTAGAAGACGACTAAGTAATAAAATATGGGGTTGCCATTTAAAAAAATGAAGTTATGGTACTTCAAAATTTCGAAAAGTTAACGTGCCATAGTAAAGTGACCAAACAATCTAGACAGCGGTTCTCGGCACCAAAACATACTCCATCATGTTGCTTAAGCATGTTCTGAATCCTAAATTGATATCTCAAAAATCGAGTGTTCTCTGATTTTTTGAATAAATGCCTGCTGGAGCAGATTTTTCTAGAAAAATTCGAATAACTCGAGAACGGCCGAATCAAATTGCAAAAAGTGGAGTTGTTTATAAGCCGTAAAAACAGACAAATCCAAACTTGTAAAAATATACAGGGTGTTCCATTTAAAAAAATAAAGTAGGTGGCGACTTCCGGTATAACCGGAAGTGTTAGAAATCTGAAAATATTTTAATCGAAGAGAACGCAATTGATAATACTTAAATCTGAATTCTCAAATTTTTATTTTTAACCCCAGAAACGTTTAATGGCCGGTCTCGCCGAGAGATAGATATATACAGGGTGGTTCAGTTTTTAATCGGGAAACTTTACTAGGACGTAGTACAATTTTAGTACATAGTATAATAACACAATTTTTTTATATAAACGTAGGGTCGCAAGTCGTTTGTTTTCGAGCAAAGTTGAGCCAAACATTTACATTTTGTTTTGTATTTTGGCTGCAAACTTTACTACTGGTTAAGACCTTATTTTCAAGCATACCTTAAACTTCCTTAGCGCCCTCTAAGGGGATGAAATTCTTTAGTGCATTCAACTTTGCCCCCATTTAACTATTTCTGTATCTCTTATGGTTTCTGAGATCCTGATGGTGGGGGTCGAATTTGAATTACCCTGTATAGGTTAAAAAGGTGCAGTGCGATCATGCCTTCTCTCCATACAGTCTCATAGACATCCGACAGAAAAATGAATGCGGAGAATTTTTGAGCTTTCTTTAGGATTAGGTTTTAGGATGTCTATTACCTTTGTTAGTTTGAATTATCTGGGTAGGTTACCAGTCTGGATTATATCAGTGAAGAATCTATCCAGCGAAATTTGCGTATTTTCAGCTATTTATTAGAAATTCTGAGTTCATAGCCCTTGTGCTTTTCCTCAGGTTATTTCTTCATCTGTGAGTGAGTTCAATCTCCGTTGTCTCATTCCACAGGTTTCTGAGTTCCTTTGCGAAGATGCTACTTAATTTCAGACGACTTGAACTACTCACAACTAACACTTGCTCAGTTTGCTGTTTTTTCTGTCAGCCCATTTATTTTGTGTCGGCTCTGATGAGTTGTCTAAAATATCACCGAAACTCATGGTTGTGCTTAAAAAACTAGGCAACCTAAGTGTCGTACTGATATCTGTATCCTGTACCTTTCGGTCCAGAACTCTAATCTCTCTAATTTTTTGGTCCAAATTTTAAACTATAAGTAAATAATTGTCAATTTGATGCAATAAAAATGTTTCTTTTATTGACAAATATACAGGGTGTGTCAAATGTCACAGTTATAAGTTATAATTAAAAATTAATTACATCATTTCCCTAAATAGTCATGAAAGATTTTTTCTTATCTAAATAACTAAATTAATGGCACAATTTTTTAATTTTTCGTTTAAAGAAGTGATCATCGCCATCTAGTGAGCAGTAGTTACCCTAATTTTAGTTGTGACATCTATCATACAAATTTATTAAACTTAACAAAAATTTATTTAAACGTATCTTATTTATTTATTTATTAATTACTTTTATTTTAGTTCCAAGGTGATAAACACGAAGCTTACGTCCGAATAACATTAAATCAACACTACAGGGTGGTCAAAGAGAAACGAACATCAATCTCAAAACCATCCAAAGACGGACAAATTTCATTCAGCGAATGTTTCAACTTTAAAATGGCTCCGAGTAACGTGGACGTTTCCAGTTTGGCTTTCCACGTTTTCCAAGCGACCACTGGTTACGGTAGGGGTATGTGTATTTTTGCTTTATTTTTATTTTGCTCCAATTTTTTAATTAATCCTTTAACGATCTTTTAACACTAAGCACGCAATCGATTAAATACAAAATAAAATTAATCCCGCTTAAAGTTGCTTGGGCGAAAATAATTTTTCCATCGCTCGACATAACCTTGTCCCCATTACGTTGATGGACGATTGTGACAAAACAGTTTTGAAACAGGATACAGGAAGCGGTGAAAAAAATTATTGCTCCAATCATATTGAAAGCTCGTTGAAGTAAATCGTGCATGTGTACGCCAAAAATGTAACCCAAACAAATTATTCCTGATATTATTAGAAACGAAACGTAAGCGATTATTGGAAAAATCATTCGAACCTGTGATTTTTCTGAAGTCGAAATTGAAGAGTATAGACACGAGCAAATTAAACAGATTATCTAGAACAAAAAATTATTAAATTATTAAATAATTAAGATTTCAATTTCTTACCACTTGAGATAACTTCAACAAAATTTCTTTCCCACAAAAACTATAAGCTTCGTACGAATGATAATACAACTTATAAGAATCTCTCGAAGACGAAGATTCGGTACTTATTAAACGTTTAAAAAGGGAAGTTTTCATCGTTGGGGATGAAACCGTCCCTTGTGGTGAATTATTTAACGAATTCATGATTTAAAAAAGTTTACTTGATTAAAAGACTGTGTGTTTTATACTAAATTACTCGGGATGTTAACCGCAAAGATTCTTTTTTTATCAATTTCCTTGTATTACAACATTTCCTGCTCGTTTACTTTTGCGTTGAATCAATTTAATTTCACCCAGTTCTTGCATGATGATTATTTAATGTATTAGGTTTAATTTGGCTTGCCCGTGGTAAATTCGCTTTTGATGGCTTTTAAATAGGGGTAATTTTCGATTTGCCACATTCATTTTCGATTTAAATTATTAAATTTAACGATCTATCAATTTAAAATTCTACGTATCCATCGCTGTGGGAAATCAATTTAAATAATTTAATGATGGCAAATCGTTAAGTACCATTAGTGTTGAATTAGTTAGTGTAAAAAAGGAAAATAATCATTAATTTTTCTGTATTCGCGTAGATAAGCTCATTGGAAAGTGTGTATTGGGTTCTTATATGTTCGCAAGAGGAAAAGCTCTCGTCCAATGGAATATGGCGATTGCGAATCCCATGGAACAGAACCAACAATGGCATATTCTTTCCGAATAAATATTCGTTAGAAAATTAAAAGTTAAAATATTAGCATAAAAAAGTAGTAAATGTTATAAATGTTTTACAACGATTTTAGAAAAAAAAGTGTTTATAAATGTTATTATAGTTAACAATGAGAAAAAATACTCAATTTATTTTTCTTTTCTTTGTTTAATGTTATTTGTGGAAAAGTGTACAACAAAAAATCGTATTTATTATGCTAAAATTGCTTTTATTATAAAACCCCAACTTTCCATGCCATCAAAAGCAACACATATCCTAAAATAAAACATAATAATACAATTAAAGCTAAAAGGTTTATTTACAGGACATTGTTATTTCTGCAATAACTCGACATAAAGATGTCTTAAGGAACTAAACAACTTGAAGTTAATGATTTTGTTACACATCAATACACATAACTTTTAAAATCCTGTTTGTTAATAAGATATATTAGCAGGAAGTAGCAAAATAGCTAACAAAAAATGTTAAGATAAAAAAGTTTAACCCTGTATACATATAAACCTAAACATAACCGTTTTCGAGATATTAAACTTTGAAAGTTTCTCATCTCCATAGCAACACAATGCATAACGCATATCAAAAGTACAAAAATTGTTTGAATAATTTGTGCCCAAAGATAAATTACGGAACTAATTAGATAATTTCGTAAATTTTTTAATAAATCTAGAAAACGGTTAAGTTTAGGTTTATGATGTATAAGGTGTTCTATAAAATAATATACAGGGTGTTACATTAAAGAAAACGTAACCTTGTTTCGTCATAACTTTTTGACCGAGCCTGCTTATACATACTTAATTTGTTTGGAGGAATCCATGTCTAAAAAAACAGTAAATAGTTTGGCTTCAAAAAATAGAAAGTGAGGCCTGTTTGGCTATGGCCAATGCAACTTCAAATGCAAAATAAAAAAAAGTGCGAACTAACACTAGATTAACTTCAGGTTTAAAATGTCAACCTCAATTTTGACATATTTGTAATCTCCATTAAAAATCCTTTAAAATGAGTACAAACACGACATATTTATCTTCAATATTAATGAAGTTATGGTCAACTTCCGGTTAAGAATGTCAACGTCAATTTTGACATATTTGTAATCGTCGTGAAAAATCCTTTAAAATGAGTCCAAACATGATACGTTTAATTCCAATATTACTCGAGATATAAGCAACTTCCGGTTTGAAATGTCAATGTCATTTTGACATATTCTTAATTTTTATAAAATGTCTTAATATTTGTCACAAAAATTTTTTTTATTATATTTTTAATAAAAAATTAAGGTTGGTATTAATTTTTAAAAATTAAATTGTTGCTAACTTCGGGTTTAATATTTTTTATTCCAACTTTTTTGTTTTTTGAGATAAGTGCGTCGTGTTTGGACTCGTTTTAAAGGTTTTTTAATAAAGATGACAAATATGTCAAAATTAACGTTGACGTTTCAAACCGGAAGTGATTGTATTTCCATTAATATTAAAGTTAAATATGTCGAGTTTGGACTCATTTTAAAGGATTTTTTGTGAAGTTGATAAATATGTCAAAATTAAAAGTTGAAAGTTCGAAGTTTGGGCTCACTTTAAAGGTTATCTCACCTTTACCTAGCAGACAGCATGAAATCTTAGTCGTCTTGTTCAGACGACTTGAACTCTTGCTCAGTGCGTTTTGCAACCTTGAGCATCTTGAGGCAGTTTATGTCTTAATCTTATATGTATATTTTTCAATCTTCCAACTAGCATTTCAATAATTATTCTTAGGACGTGACATTTTATTTATTTTATGTGTCAGCCCACGATGCCAAACATTGCCAAAGACCTGTGCTAAATCTAGAAACAACGCTACTACGTACTGTTTGGCCTCAAATGTAATTTCTTTATATTCGGCTACTCTGAGTAGTTTGTGTAATTGACTACTAAGTCTGTAGCTTTCAATTTCTTTCTTTTATTTATTTTTTGACGCAACACAACATCCAGTATAACAGTTAATTCTGTGTATATGTTACAAAGTGTAATTCAATTTTTTGCAATTTCACATGTGAATGTTAAAAATGACATTTTGAATTAATTTCCATTACGTCATTTTCGACCTTCAATTGACCTTGAATGCCTTAAAACTATGTTACCAACATCGACACAAAAAAAAATCATCTAAAATAACTTTAGAAAAAAATTTATTAACTAAATAGGAATGATTTCAATTTATTAATTTATTTTTTACACTTATTTATTTATTAAGTTATTTATAGTAACATGTACAATAAGAATCTTCTTCGTAAACATAAAAATAACTTAATCCCCAGTCATCATTTCCATGAATTCTACAACAAAAAGTTAAATTTAAAAAAAAATCTCCTTTATGAACCCCTTAATATAAATTTACCATCAAAATCAACAGTTCCTGATCCATCCGTATCAATTTCAGTGATGATTCCGTCCAAATCCTTACTGGTGAGGTTATCGTCTAAAGCGGCCAAGATTTCCTTAAGAGTGGCTGTCGTGATGTAACCATTTCCTTCCCTATCATACAACCGGAAAGCTTCCTTAAGTTCCTGTTGGGTGGATTCGGCGTCATCTTCTTCTAAGAAATGGGAGGCGATCGCGCAGAAGCCGTCGAAATCAACTTTTCCCGATTTATCAGTATCCTGCTCAGTGGTAAGTCTGCTTAATTCGCTATGATCGAACAAACACCCCATTGTGTTTAAAATGGTTGAGATTTTTGTTGTTTCAATCAAACCACTTTTTGATGGATCGAACATTGTGAAGGCTTTGCGGAGAATAGCCATTTTTTGTTCGTCGTCACTCTATAAAAAAATCACATTTTCGTAAACAACTTTTTATTCACTAGAACACTTTAAATTTATCATATTATGAGGTATAAAATTTCTTACCATTTTTGATAGTGTTTTTTATAAACTTTTTTTTTTTTTTGAAGAAGTATAATGAATTTAACGCGGAAAGCTAACGAGTTAAACTGACCGAAATTCCGAAAAATGATGAGACTATATAGACGGTTGAGATTCATATAGGCGTGAAGCGAAAATATTTCAAACGGACTAGAAAATGTGCCGATTTCGACCCGAACAATGTAACCTATTTCAGAGGGGGCCACCTCACGCGCGGTAAATTTCGGTGGTCACGTCACGGATTATTTCAGATTCCATTCTAGTTTTAGGTGTTTTTTTTCTCAAACCAATTTACGAAAACCACTCGAAACCGCCTTCGATGTTTATAGATTCAAAATTGCGGAATCCGACGTCGACTGTTGTGTTTATATTTATATGGAAAGTTGTTTTTGAGATGATGACGTCGGCTTTTCCGTGATATTTACCAGAAACCGTTTTCGGTTGGAGTAAAAATTGATGGACATCAATCTTTTCTGTAAGCTCCGCCTTCGTTTTAACTCTTTGACAAATTGATGGCTATAAATTTCCCGGACGATTTAGACTTAATTTACCGTTGAGAGGAAAAATGTTTAAAGTTTATGCGTGTTTTTGTTTTATTGAAAATACAGGTTGTTTAAAAATTCGGTGTGGTAAACAAATATCTTGAAATATCCTTTCTTATTCGCATTATTTTCTTCTCTCTGCATTTCCTTAACCTTCTTTATGCAACCAACATCACAGTGCAAGACGCATCATACGCAAATCGCGTATTGCAATGAAAATAATGTGATATTGGTTGCATACTTGCAATGATGACGTCGGGTACGATAATTAATTAACATAGTTGCTGTTTTTCTTCCTTCAAGAGCACAAAAACTTGTATCTTCTACGAGTATGAGCACAACTTGATACATACGAGATGTTACAATGCAAGATGGAAAAATTACGATATAATATAGCTAGAACATACAATTCAGAAGAGAATTACAATTGATACCATTTAATTACAAAGAAAGCTTTGGAAAACTCGAAGTTGAGTGATTCTGCGTAAACATCACGAAAATCCTGTAATCAATACCATACGTGGAAAATACTACACCTGTCATGGAAACGACTCCACTCTTTTTGTAAATGTCCCTTCTTCATTATTCTTGCATTTCAGTTAGCTCCAATTACTAAGTTACTCCTTAATCTAGTTCCTCTTCTATGCATAACACCTTCACTCTTCCGTTTTGGTTAATTTTTTGCTCATCATTTTCAGCAGAGTATTATTACTGAAATAAATATCAAAGAAAATGATGTAGTTAGAAGCTACTAATAATTGTAAGAAGGTAAAGAATTGTCCAAAATGAGAAACAAAGCCATAATATGCAATTTTATTGATCAGTATGATGTAATAACACGATTATTATGATTTCCAAAACTAACACGAAAGAAACAATGGTAGTTTTGATGAAATGAAAAAAGTCTTCCGGGCCTAGCAACATCTCGATCAAGCTGGTGAAGCATGAATGTTGAAAAAGGATAATATTCCAGATGATTGGAACTTAGCACATTAGCTCAATCTTCAAAAAGGGAATAAAAAGTTATAAAGCAAAAGAAGGGCTTGTACTGCTAATATTTTCCTCTTCCAACAAGGGATTTGCCCACGGATTTAGTCTCCATAGATCTAGCTCTTTAAGATCCTGACTTAGTAGGGTGTATATTTGGTCCATTAGAAACATTTATACGGACCCCAAGAGTATCATTAAGGTGAGAAACTCAATATCTGTCTTGGAACAGACAAAACATAAAGAGAAAATAAGTATACATGGAAGATCAACGCCTGACAACTGGTTTCTTTGTTGATGACCAAGTTGTTGTAACATATGAAGAGTATGATATTGACTTTATGTTCAGGAAACTCATGGAAGAATATTGGAAGTGGGAACTAAATATCAATATAGATAGGACAGAATAATAGGCAATTACTAAACTACAAATAAACAACAAAATAGGAAAATCCAAGTAATATAGATATTTGGGCAGCATAATTAGTAGTAGAGACTATTTTAGCATAACTTGAAACAGTTTCTAAGAAGCACATGCAGAGTATCAAGATTGGAACATCGATGGTGTGAGATATTGATCAAATCCATGCTGGATTCAAGAAATCAGACCTGACTACAACTGATCGAGACTTACTGGAAGAGGGATGAAGCAATAAAACAGATTGGCGATCCCACGAGTGTATTTCCTTTAACACCACAATATTTGTCAAAACCATTACAGTATTCCGTAAAAATACATAACATTCAATACTTGTGCCCGAAGTGTACTTGTTTGCCTTTTATGTATTATTTATCTTCGTCGATGGATAAATTTTCACGAAACGTACCCGAACGTTGAAATTTTTGATTTAAGTGTCTTACCCATTTTGTCTTAATAATTGTCTACTAAATGAATATACTTTTTGATTTGCTGCAATTTATTCTGTGGCATAGTTTTTGCAACCTAAAAGCACACTGGTAGCAGCAATATATCTTCATCGTCACTTTTTTCTGCATTATTGCAGTTTATATGGTGCAACAGAATTTCACCTACCAACTACGTCAGTAGCAAATATATTTTCGTATATGTTGGGTTCATTAAAAAGTCGGAAGATATAATTTTTTGAAAATTTCTTATCATTTTTAATTTATAATTTGACAATATCCTCTTTAATAATTTTTTTTTGGAAATTTCAATAATATCATCATATATTTTTTATGTCACATTATAAACTACAATCTTTAAGCTTCAATTTAACATACACATCATATCATTATCATTAAAACCACGGCAGATATGAAGTTTTTATTTATGAATTTTTATTTTTACGACTTTAGAAATGTTACTATTTTTGAAATACGCTGTAAGTATTGCGTTGATTAAGTGTTAAAATAAGCTGGGAGAAAATCGTCGTCCGTTTAAAAATAAGTTCTCCAAACCAGCTATAGTTTTCATTTTTATAAACGTTTGTAATTGTTTTTTACGAAACGTTAATTTGGCAAATTATCCAGCGGAATTTTTCGCTCGAAAAACATCATAAGATTTACATAAATACATAAAAAAAATAAAATTTCCTATTTTTAAGACGTTATTATTGACAACTCATTCAACTTGTTATTTTCGGGTTTTAATTAAACAACATTTCTTGGCATCATTTTTCCAAAACATTTAAACTTTTTTCTTTTAATGTCTTCGACGATAATTTTAAGGTTTAAAACATTATTTTATTATTAATATTTTACGAATTAAAGATGAAGTCTCGTTAGGAAACGTTAAAGAGATGAAAATAAATGCCGCCTTTGCATAACGCGTCTGAACGAATTACCAAACTCTAAAACGTGTCGTGAAAAATGTTGGCACAAATTCACCTTTTTATTTTTTTATTTCTTAATAACACCATTTAATAACGCTATAAGTCAAAATTATATTAATAACCCAAAACTTATTGCAGTTTGAGCCCCCACAATATTAAAACAACATATTAGAATTCTTTTTATTGAATTTAAATCCACAAAAAATACAAAAAAAAGAAACACCTTGTTATTTAATTATAAGTCATGTATCTTGGAGTAGCGGAGAATTTCGCGTAGGATTTAATAACTTTATTAACAGCTTCTAAGAAATCCTTTTCAGTCGCAACCTTCCTCCTGGCTCTTATAGCAAACATCCCAGCTTCAGTACAAACACTTCTAATTTCAGCCCCGGTTGAATTTGGACACAACCTAGCTAATAACTCGAATCGAATATCTCTCTCGACGGACATTGATCTAGCGTGTATTTTAAAAATATGCGAGCGCCCCTCTAAATCGGGTAAACCAAACTCAACTTTGCGATCCAACCTTCCAGGTCGCATTAAAGCAGGATCTAAAGTATCTGGGCGATTCGTTGCCATTAAAACTTTAATATTTCCGCGTGGATCAAAACCATCGAGTTGATTAATCAATTCAAGCATGGTTCTTTGAACTTCGTTATCGCCTCCTGCGCCATCATCGAAACGAGCCCCTCCGATCGCGTCGATTTCATCGAAAAAGATTAAACAAGCTTTTTTTGAACGTGCCATTTCGAAGAGTTCTCGAACCATTCTTGCACCTTCTCCGACGTATTTTTGAACGAGTTCAGACCCGATTACTCGGATAAAACAAGCGTCGGTGCGGTTTGCTACGGCGCGGGCGCAAAGTGTTTTACCCGTACCAGGGGGGCCGAAAAGTAAGACGCCTTTTGGTGGTTCTATTCCAAGTTTTACGAATTTTTCTGGCTAAAAATGATTAATAATTAATTAATTCAAAAAATTAAGTAAATTAATTACATGTAATAAAGGTGTTTCAACGACTTCTCGTAATTTTTCAATTTGCTCTTTGCAACCACCAACATCGCTATAAGTAACATCAGGTTTTTCTTCTACCTGCATCATAGTAACGGTTGGATCAATTTTTGGCGGTAACGGGATATGAATCTGATACTTATTACGGTCAACACTAAAAAAATTTGATATAAAAATTGCTTTTTGGCATATTTTGAATCATACCCAACCCGCATTCCTTCTTCGATATCTGTAGGAGCTACAGAATCAGCTAAATCGACTACAAACTTTGCAAATTGCTTAACATTTATGATATACTTAGGATCGTCGGTATCGGCGTTAATAATTTTAGTACATCGAGCCACTTGTAGCGGCTGCTCATTTTGCAAAGTTTGTTTATCTGCGGCTAAATCCCAAAGGGCAGGTGGTGCTAATCCGGTATCGGACTCTTTAATTCCCGTTAACTCGTTGACGCGTTTGATTACGGTTTGGATGTCATCTTCTACGGTTTTAATACTTTTTGTGTATTGGCCTTGACCCTAAACACAAAGAAATCGATTTAAACAATACGTTTTTAGTCAAAATAAAGAAATTACGGGTATAATTCAAGAATCATCATGAAAAATCACTTTAAAGTTTCGACGTGACGTCACTTTTTGTGTTAAATACGGTTGTTACAACGACTAAAATGTCGAAATAACCTAAAATCTATAAATAAACGAAATAATCTAAACAAAAAAGCGATGAAACAAACAAACACAAGGGTTAGTTGATTCGAAACTTAAAAATTTTTTAATTTCTCTGTTAAAATCGTGTATAAAATCGAATTTGCTTTAATTTGATACCAAACACGACATATTTATCTTAAAAATTAAAAAAGTTAGGTTAAGAACCAACAAAGAAACCGCCATTTTGTTTTTCTTTTTCCTCTTATTTTTTAAAATCTTCATAAATTGATTAAAATCGATATTTTCGCGATTAGAATCGTTTATAGAATTGAATTTGCTTTAATTTGATACCAAACACGACATATTTATCTTAAAAATGAAAAAAGTTAGGTTATATTCAACAAAGAGACCGCCATTTTGTTTTTTTTTTCCTATTATTTTTTTATATCTTCATAAATATAGCGAGTTTGGTATCAAATGAAAGGGTTTTTAATGTAGATGACGATTTTTCACTCAAATTAGACTTTTTGATCAATTTTATGAGATTAAACAATTTCATAAAATAATAATAATTGATTAAAGTCGATATTTTCACGGTCAGAATCATTTATAGAATTGAATTTGCTTTAATTTGATACCAAACACGACATATTTATCTTAAAAATGAAAAAAATTAGGTTATAATCAACAAAGAGACCGCCATTTTGTTTTTTTTTCCTATTATTTTTTTATATCTTCATAAATATAGCGAGTTTGGTATCAAATTAAAGGGTTTTTAATGTAGATCACGATTTTTCACTCAAATTAGACTTTTTGATCAATTTTATGGGATTAAACAATTTCACAGGATAATTATAATTGATTAAAATCGATATTTTCGCGATCAGAATCGTTTATAGAATTGAATTTGCTTTAATTTGATACCAAACACGACATATTTACATTAAAAATGAAAAAAAGTTAGGTTATAATCAACAAAGAGACCGCCATTTTGTTTTTTTTTCCTATTATTTTTTATATCTTCATAAATATAGCGAGTTTGGTATCAAATTAAAGGGTTTTTAATGTAAATGACGATTTTTCACTCAAATTAGACTTTTTGATCAATTTTATGAGATTAAACAATTTCACAGGATAATAATAATTGATTAAAATCGATATTTTCGTGATCAGAATCGTTTATAGAATTGAATTTGCTTTAATTTGATATCAAACACGACATATTTATCTTAAAAATGAAAAAAGTTAGGTTATATTCAACAAAGAGACCGCCATTTTGTTTTTTTTCCTATTATTTTTTTATATCTTCATAAATATAGCGAGTTTGGTATCAAATGAAAGGGTTTTTAATGTAGATCACGATTTCTCACTCAAATTAGACTTCTTGATCAATTTTATGGGATTAAACAATTTCACAAAATAATAATAATTAATTAAAGTCGATATTTTCACGGTCAGAATCGTTTATAGAATTGAATTTACTTTAATTTGATACCAAACACGACATATTTATCTTAAAAATGAAAAAAAGTTAGGTTATAATCAACAAAGAGACCGCCATTTTGTTTTTTTCGTATTATTTTCTTATATCTTCATAAATATAGCGAGTTTGGTATCAAATTAAAGGATTTTTAATGTAGATCACGATTTTTCACTCAAATTAGACTTTTTGATCAATTTTATGGGATTAAACAATTTCACAGGATAATAATAATTGATTAAAATCAATATTTTCGCGATCAGAATCGTTTATAGAATTGAATTTGCTTTAATTTGATACCAAACACGACATATTTATCTTAAAAATGAAAAAAAGTTAGGTTATAATCAACAAAGAGACCGCCATTTTGTTTTTTTTTCCTATTATTTTTTTATATCTTCATAAATATAGCGAGTTTGGTATCAAATTAAAGGGTTTTCAATGTAGATCACGATTTTTCACTCAAATTAGACTTTTTGATCAATTTTATGGGATTAAACAATTTCACAGGATAATAATAATTGATTAAAATCAATATTTTCGCGATCAGAATCGTTTATAGAATTGAATTTGCTTTAATTTGATACCAAACACGACATATTTATCTTAAAAATGAAAAAAAGTTAGGTTATAATCAACAAAGAGACCGCCATTTTGTTTTTTTTTTCTATTATTTTCTTATATCTTCATAAATATAGCGAGTTTGGTATCAAATGAAAGGGTTTTTAATGTAGTTCATGATTTTTCACTCAAATTTGATCAATTTTATGGAATCAAACAATTTCACAAAATAATAATAATTGATTAAAATCATCCAGTAGTATTTATCATTTATTTTTGGGAAGCATATCTTTTCTTTCCAAGCAGTTATTAATCTTTTTCAGCAGTATCTAACATTTTGGAAGCGATAGATAGCTTTTTGGAAAGCATATCTCTTTTCGAAACAATTATTAAAGTTTTGAATGCAGTAAGTGGTCTTGAAAGCAGTATTCCAACTAGGTCAAAACGTTTAACAGCAGTGTTTAGTGTTTTGGAAGCAATAGGTATTATTTTAAAAACAGTATTTAGTCTTTTTCTGTAGTATTTAGCATTTTAAAAGCAGTAGGTAACTTTTTGGAATAATATTTCCTCTTTCCAAGTAGTTTTAACTCTTTTACTAGCACAATTTAATCTTCTGATAATAATAATTCGAAAGCCCAAGAAAAACAAGGGTGTTTCATCCAAAAATATATGTATTTGTAGGTTACGTATTGACCTAACCTAACCTTTAATGTGATTTTTCGGTATGTTCTACATTTTTCCATTCTTTCTTTTTATTTTTAACGTGTTTTTTGTGTCACTTCACATCGATGGGAAAAAAATTGTACGAAATTACTTACGTAGGTCTTTAATAAAGCGATATCTCCTTCATCTAGGGCTACAAAATAAAACATAACCTCACTTTCTTTTGTTACAAATTTTTGCGAACGTTCTTACCTTTTATTTCTTTTTCTTCCTCTTTTTCCTCATTTTTTATCTTACGCATATCGTCCCCTAAATGATCCGGCATGATTTTCTGTTATATTTTAAATAGAAACGTTGAAAATAATAAAGTGTATCGATTGAGGAATTACAAGCAGATTTGATCTGTCAAATTTCAGAGGTGCCAACGGTTATTTTAACAACCAAGATTAAAGTAACCAACAAAAATTGTTTCATTAATTAATTTAATTAATATTGATTAAGTTTTTTAAATAAAATAATTAAATCAAAACATAATTTTAAAATTAAAGTAAAATTAACACCATTTTTAAGGTGATAAAATGAAACAATATCTGGACGTAACCTAAACAAATTGACATTGACGTTTGACAGTTTTACCCAAACAACAAATTTTTTTTTGATGTTTTTATCAAATGTATAGTGAAATAAGTGATTGTGAGTGATTCACACCGACAAGATGAGTACAACGGAACAAATAGGTCTGAATAAAACGTGGGAATTATCTTTATATGAGTTGCACCGGACCCCACAAGACGCTATAGTTGACAATACCGAGATAGCCGTATCCCCAAGAAGTCTCCACAATGAATTGATGTGCCCCATCTGTTTAGATATGTTAAAGAAGACGATGACCACGAAGGAATGTCTACACAGGTTTTGTTCAGAATGTATAATAACGGCTCTAAGATCAGGGAACAAAGAATGCCCGACGTGTCGAAAAAAATTAGTCTCAAAACGTTCGTTAAGACCGGATCCAAATTTTGATTTATTAATCTCAAAGATATACCCGAGTCGAGACGAATATGAAGCCCACCAAGAGAGGGTTTTGGCAAAATTAAATAAGAGTCATTCACAAGCAGCTTTAGTTAATTCAATAACAGAAGGGATTAAAGTGCAACTTCAAAATAGACCGAATCGATCGCGTAAAGGAAACGACGAATCCACGAGTAATTCGAACGAAAATTCGAATCAAAATGTGGTTTCATCGAACGAAAACTCACAACCTCCACCAACAACAAATATCCCCCCAGAAATTCCCATAAACACCAATTCAAACCCACCTAGAATGTCAAGTCCCGCCCCATCAGGGCGAAGCACCCCATCTCAACCACCCAGCCCTGGTTCTTCAGTTGCTAAATCAATTAAAGGTCCAAAAAGTAATTTTACATCAGAAAGAAGTGAAGAAAGCGAAACAAGCGAACGAACCGATCAGACCGATACAGAAGGTGAAGGGGCCTCGGAGCCATCGACACTAAACGAAGTCGAATTGGTTTTTAAACCACATCCAACAGAAATGTCTGGTGATAACCCGTTGATAAAAGCTTTGAAAGAAAATTCAGTTCGTTATTTAAAAACGACAGCAAACGCAACGGTTGATCATTTACACAAGTACTTAGCGATGCGATTAACGTTAGATTTGGATTCGCAATTATCTCAAACTCATCACTTACTCAATTTTTGTATTTTTATATCGCCAACGACGGGACAATTCATTCAATTGAGCGGAAATATAACGTTGGCGCAAGTGAGCGATAAATATTGGAAGGGAAACAAGCCCTTGGAGATGTATTATTGTTGGAAAAAAACCTAGGGGCCCCGCAAGGGGGTCCAATAAGTCCCCCGCGAATTATTATTGATGATTTCATGTTTGATTTGTTTCTCAAAATAGATTAATAAGAAAAAAATATAAATGTGTATCTTAAATTATCACTTAAATTAGGTGGACTTAGATATTTGTACTTTTCAGGTTTTCTTTTCTTCATTTCTTAGTTTCTCATCTCTTGAATTGAATTAAAATGGGAATTATAATTATTTGTAATAAGCAGAACTGTTTTAGAAATAAAAAAAGAAACAGATTTTAGAATTTGAAACTTTTTTCTTATTGATATGACTCCTCTCATTAAGTTAAAAATGATAATTTCAAATCCTGCTTAAGATTAGAACCTACACTTATTCCTGAATGTTAGATAAAGTTGGCAAAAGACTAATTATTGCTGTGAGAAGATTAAATACTGCTAGTAAAAGACTAAAAACAGCTTGGAAAAAAGAATTACTATTTCAAAAAGTTACCTATTGCTTCTAAAATGGTAGATATTGCAGAAAAAGACCACAACTTACTTGGAAAAGACTAATACTGTTTTCAAAATAATACCTATTGCTTCCAAAATGTTAGATATTGCTGAAAAAGACTAATAACTGCTTGGAAAGAAAAGATATGCTTCCCAAAAATGAATGCTAAATATTACTAGATGATTTTAATCAATTATTATTATTTTGTTAAATTATTTAATTCCATAAAATTGATCAAAAGGTCTAATTTGAGCGAAAAATCGTGATCTACATTGAAAACCCTTTAATTTGATACCAAACTCGCCATATTTATGAAGATATAAAAAAATAATAGGAAAAAAAACAAAATGGCGGTCTTTTTGTTGATTATAACCAAACTTTTTGCATTTTTAATTAAAATATGTCGTGTTTGGTATCAAATTAAAGCAAATTCAATTCTATAAACGATTCTGACCGTGAAAATATCGACTTTAATCAATTATTATTATTTTGTGAAATTGTTTAATCCCATAAAATTGATCAAAAAGTCTAATTTGAGTGAAAAATCGTGATCTACATTAAAAACCCTTTAATTTGGTACCAAACTCGCCATATTTATGAAGATATAAAAAAATAATAGGAAAAAAAAACAAAATGGCGGTCTTTTTGTTGATTATAACCAAACTTTTTGCATTTTTAATTAAAATATGTCGTGTTTGGTATTAAATTAAAGCAAATTCAATTCTATAAACGATTCTGACCGTGAAAATATCGATTTTAATCAATTATTATTATCCTGTGAAATTATTTAATCCCATAAAATTGATCAAAAAGTCTAATTTGAGTGAAAAATCGTGATCTACATTAAAAACCCTTTAATTTGATACCAAACTCGCCATATTTATGAAGATATAAAAAAATAATAGGAAAAAAAAAACAAAATGGCGGTCTCTTTGTTGATTACAACCTAACTTTTTTCCATTTTTAAGATAAATATGTCGTGTTTGGTATCAAATTAAAGCAAATTCAATTCTATAAACGATTCTGACCGTGAAAATATCGACTTTAATCAATTATTATTATTTTGTGAAATTGTTTAATCCCATAAAATTGATCAAAAAGTCTAATTTGAGTGAAAAATCGTGATCTACATTAAAAACCCTTTAATTTGATACCAAACTCGCTATATTTATGAAGATATAAAAAAATAATAGGAAAAAAAAAAAAAATGGCGGTCTCTTTGTTGATTATAACCTAACTTTTTTTCATTTTTAAGATAAATATATCGTGTTTGGTATCAAATTAAAGCAAATTCAATTCTATAAACGATTCTTTTTTCCAAACAATTATTAAAGTTTTTGAAAGCAATAAGTGGTCTTGGAAGTAATATTCCGCCTGTCCAAGTAAGTCAAAACCTTTAACAGCAGTGTTTAGCGTTCTGGAAGTAATAGGTATTATTTTGAAAACAGTATCTAGTCTTTTCCAAGTAAGTTGTGGTCTTTTTCTGCAGTATCTGGCATTTTAGAAGCAGTAGATAACTTTTTAACTCCGAATTTCAACTTATAATTATATAGCTTATAATTTCAACTATATCAAAGGCAAAATTTTTCAACATTTTCTTTAAACCGATAGATATCATTTAACCTCGTTATCAAGTTTAAAATGATATGAATCAGATCGAGGCATAATTAGTTATAAATTATTTTTTTGCATCATTATTTAATATTTTTCTTTTTGTTATCCAACAATCTCTATTATTATTTCATTTCCTTCTTGTCTTTTCAATTTCAACTCAAGTTGGTTGAAACGAGTTGAAACCGCACACCACATACTTCATGTTATGAGATACGTCATAACGCATATGGCAAAGATCAGGGGAGATAATAATGAGTTTTTATGATGGTGCCATGTATCACATGGTGCGCGGATCTTGTACGCTTCATCAATTACATTATTACTCTTCGTATACCTGCCGGCGAAGCGAATGAGAAGCCAAAATAAAAAAAATTAAATAAACGGTCGTATAGATTGAAGCAAATAAGGCGCCCCCGTGCTTCGCATCGTCTCCATATCCAATCCCGTCGCCTGTCACACCGTATAAAGCCATTAATTATCCGTCGACGGCGCGTTTTCAATTACGGTAATTATTACTCTATCAAAGCGCGGTTTAAATTAAACGCCAAAATCCCAAACGGAACGAGAACGAGAATGAATTCGAAATTGCAATTAACCGGAGTACTAATTTAAATCTTTTTTTTTATGTCCATTAGAATAAATTTGTATGTACTAAATGGAAATTACGTCTTCAAAAAAACATTCATTAGTTTTTTTGTGGTAGTTAATACTTGATTTTATGGCGCCGAGTAAATTTTTAACCCCTCAAGGGTAATTACTGTTGCTTTACCGGTAGCATCTTTTTTTATAAGCGAAAGAGAGAGTAAGAGAGATCGCGTTTTGTTTGTATGATCTAATGGAATTACTAAAACAGGTATTATAAACAAAATTGCTATGGGTTTAAAATGAGAAGATTTTTATTTATGCAACTTGCAATTAAATATTAAGTATGCAACCAAATACGCAAATCACGTATTGCAATACCAATACTGTAATATTGGTTGCAGACTTGATAATTGCAAAAAGTTACAATAAATGCAGTTACTTACTACCACACATTCTTTAAGGACTTTACCTAATTACAGTATTGTAACACCACGTGGTATCTGCACATGTTGACCACCAATTGACACAAAAACAGCTAAGATATCAAAAATATCACTCAACCCAACATCAAATACTACCTAGAAGTCACTCTTGACCAACAAAAGATATTTTTAACTCTATACCCAACACTTGAGTCCTCAACCTCCAATCCATAGAGTCGATAGATCCAATTTCGTCAAGTTCTGCTATCACCAACCTCAAAATATTGTTAACTAAACCAAACATCTAACATTTACTCGAATGAAGAATGTAGAAGATTAGATACTGTTGAATTTTTAATAATATTGCTAATAGACAGCTAGACTAGCTAGAATTTGAAATTATTTTGAAAGATTACAGTTTCCTTCAGGAACAATAATAACATTTTTCAAAGTCCTGGTGCTTTTCTGGTTTTCAGCTTGCTCACCATTTCATCTACATTCTTCTGGGTTATGTCTTCTTCGATGGACATCTGTTCTTCTTTTTGTTCTTCTTGGTCCTCCCCGTTGGCCACCATGTATGGTTTACATTAGTGCTGGATATTCGGCATCCCCTTCGGCTGGATATCCGGTTATCCGGCATATCTATCCGGTCATTATGGTAATTGCAAAATCGAAAATTTTATTAAAACTTCAAATATTATTATCTCAAAAACTATAAGTTATTTTTCAAAACGGGTTAATTTATTGGAAAGAGGACACTCTTATTAACTCTTTGGGAAATTTTTATACTTATATTCCAAGAAATGGATTTTATACGAATTTTTAAAACTTGATCGGCGAAAATTACAAAATTCGAAAAAATTTCAAAAATTTTTTTCTCAAAAACTAAAAGCGATTTTTCAAAACGGCTTTTTGCATTAAAAAGAGGATACTTTAATTAATAATTGGTGATATTTCCACAAGGATTTTTAAAGAAATTAATTTTATAGTGAATTTTGAAAGTTATCGATAAAAATTGCAAAATCGAAAATTTTATTAAAACTTCAAATATTATTATCTCAAAAACTATAAGTTATTTTTCAAAACGGGTTGGTTCCTTGGAAAGAAGACACTTTTATTAACACTTTGGGAAAATTTTATACTTATATTCCAAGAAATGGATTTTATACGAATTTTTAAAATTAAATCGGCGAAAAGTACCTTTTGTTGTACATTTGCCATTTTGTTCTTTTTACCATTTATGTTCACCTTCCTGGTTTTGAGTGCTTTTTTTGTACTTTCAATTATGCTTGACCTAATCTTGTTCGATATAGCTCTTAGTCTGTTCTGATACTTTTCTGCATGGATTGGATCTTTTGGAGATTGTGCTTAAATCGATATTTGCATAGAACTAAGTCAGTTCTTATATCCAAAATCTGGCCGGGTTGAATTCGAAACCGGAAATCATGAATTTTAACTCAAATCACATTCATTATTTCAATTTTTTGTAACTAACTCACATGCTTTAAAAAATCAAATCTTGTGAATTCCCCTATCCGAATTTCCCATTATCGACGTTTCCGACTAATTCCGGGACCCCCTTAATATACCCTTATGACCCCCTCAAGCGAACAAATATGATTGGAAAACGCTCTTTCTCCATACACGGTCCGGCCCTTCGTGTATTACCTTTGTAGCCTAAGGGGACAAATTGTATCAAAAGGAAACGAAAAGGGAGAGAGGAAAAAGGTTTCTTACCATAATAACCTGGGGATATGGCTTAGAAAAAAAAAAATCAAGATGATTTATTTTTTAAATGAGAAAAAAAGTTGTTTACTTTATTCGCTTTTCGGAATTAAAAAAGATTTTTCGATATTTTGAGTTAAATATATTAATTAATTCTTAACGTCTTAATTTTTCGTTACATTCAGTCTCTATACGTTCTTAATACACCATATATTAATATTTTAGACTTAAAATTTAAATATTATTAAGTACATCTATTTTATTTTAATTATGTTATTGCACTTAAAAGTGTTCTTAATCACCCTCACTACGTTTTTAATCCAACAATTTGTGGTAATGAGCTTTCTTCTTACTTTTTTCAATAACATAAAACGATTTTGGCTTTCCATTTCCGGGGAAGTACTTAAAAAAGGACGATTTTTTCGGTTTCGTTGGAATATAAAAGCTTTGCTTTTTAAATTGAACTTTATCGGGAATCTCGGATTTATCCAAAACGTCATTCCAAGAATTTGGACTATTAAAAAACGCCATTTTATCGTTATTTGTGTCTTGGTTAATTTTATCGGTATTACTTTTATCATTAAAATGATTTTTATGGTGCTTTAAAGCGATTTTTTTCAAAACGGGTAAATTCCAATGATAAATTTTCGCGGGCTTTCCATTATTTTTAAACCCAACTGGCACATTCTTCTTGCTGTTAGTATCTTCCGGAAGTGCGTTTGGTTTGTTCCTCACGTAATAATGTTGATTCGGAGGCAATTTTATCACGTACATATGCGAATCGTCCGATCGTGTGTGTTGCCTCGATTCCACGGCTAATCGTTTTCGATGATGACTACTTGGGGCTTTTATCTTGGAAAATCCAATTTTTGTTAAGATATCGTGCGTTTTTGGTTGTTTATGTGGCTTCGACCATGTTTCGTTTAATAAACAAATTAGGATCGTTGTGAAAAATAACCACGTTGATCTGAAACAAGGAGAAATAAAATATTTAATATAGAAATAGGAAACCATTAAAACAAAGACATTAACCCACATTTGGTGGAATCGTAAAGTACCTTTAAGATCTAACGGTCATTAAAATGAAATGGATTTTTTTGAAAAAAAGTTTATGATTGTGCGTGTGGTCCCCATGTTAAGATAGTTCTTCAAGCGTGAAGAATGTGGCGTTTTCGTGGCCCCGTTTGAAATCGAACACCGTATCGCACGACGCTTACCACTTGTCGGCGCGGCATATGTGAGTGTGTATTGTATGGAACGGAACGTATGCGAATTCTTGGAACTACCGTTGACATTGGTACGAAGATGTCGACAACGACGTAGACTTTAGTTCCGAATGGGTCTTGACCTCCGGTGACCTCTTCTTATGGTAATCCAAGACTCGGTTTAAAACTTTTTATATTTTCGCGTGTGTTTTATGCATAAATATTTATGTATGTTAACGTTTCTATTTTATTTTATTTTATTTTAACGGGAATGTCGTCACGTTGGAATTTTTATCAGGTTCCATTTGATTATTTGTAGATATTTTATGGATTTAAAAAAAAAATGACTTAAACGTGTTGATTGAATTTCTCAGAAGGAAAGCTAATAGAAAAATTTAGAATTTCAGTCTAACCAATGTTTCTTTTTCCGGAAAAGTAGATTAACTTCAGTTATAAAACATCTATTATAAGATAACTTAATCAGGTTTAAAATGTCAACCTCAATTTCGACATATTTGTAATCTTCATTAAAAATCCTTTAAAATGAGTACAAACACGACATATTTATCTTCAATATTAATGAAGTTATGGTCAACTTCCGGTTAAGAATGTCAACGTCAATTTTGACATATTTGTAATCGTCGTGAAAAATCCTTTAAAATGAGTCCAAACATGATACGTTTAATTCCAATATTACTCGAGATATAAGCAACTTCCGGTTTGAAATGTCAATGTCATTTTGACATATTCTTAATTTTTATAAAATGTCTTAATATTTGTCACAAAAACAAAAATATAATAAAAAAAAATTAAAAATTAAGGTTGGTATTAATATTTAAAAATTAAATTGCTATCTTCATTGTTGCTAACTTCGGGTTTAATGTTTTTTATTCTAACTTTTTTGTTTTTTGAGATAAGTGCGTCATGTTTGGACTCATTTTAAAGGTTTTTTAATGAAGATGACAAATATGTCAAAATTGACGTTGACGTTTCAAACCGGAAGTGATTGTATTTCCATTAATATTAAAGTTAAATATGTCGAGTTTGGACTCATTTTAAAGGATTTTTTATGAAGTTGACAAATATGTCAAAATTAAAAGTTGAAAGTTCGAACTTTTTGGTTTTTTGAGATAAATGCATCATGTTTGGACTCATTTTAAAGGTTTTTTAATGAAGATGACAAATATGTCAAAATTGACGTTGACGTTTCAAACCGGAAGTGATTGTATTTCCATTAATATTAAAGTTAAATATGTCGAGTTTGGACTCATTTTAAAGGATTTTTTATGAAGTTGACAAATATGTCAAAATTTAAAGTTGAAAGTTAGAATTTTTTGTTTTTTTGAGATAAATGCATTAAGTTTGGACTCATTTTAAAGGTTTTTTAATGAAGATGACAAATATGTCAAAATTGACGTTGACGTTTCAAACCGGAAGTGATTGTATTTCCATTAATATTAAAGATAAATATGTCGAGTTTGGACTCATTTTAAAGGATTTTTTATGAAGTTGACAAATATATCAAAATTAAAAATTGAAAGTTCGAACTTTTTGGTTTTTTGGGATAAATGCGTCAAGTTTGAACTCACTTTCAAGGTTAGTTTATGAAGATTACTAATATAATAATAAATTAAAGTTGACATTGACAACTGAAAGTTTTTTTCACGACTAAACCCGAATGTTTGTTCTCCTCTTAAGTTCTTCTCTAGAATTGTAGAAGTAGTTATTTAATTAAGGTTAGTAATCAATTATTGGGATTTAGCTGGAAAATCATTCAAATTATTGAAAACTTGTTTAAATGATGACAAACTGGTTCATGGCCACTTCATAAGTTGTTCTGAATCATTGGAAAATCCTCCAAATAATTGAAAACCAGTTCAAGCGTTTTCCAACTGGTTTACAGCTATTCCAAGTTGTTAAAAAAGATTGATTGCATGTAGAGTTGTTCAAAACAAGTCTACAACATTGAAAAATTGTACAAAATCATTAATAGTTAAGGTTGGTAATTATTAAAAACTTGAAATAATTAAAAAATGTTGTCCAAATGATTGATATTGTTTTAGAATAAAACTAAAAATAAACATTTTTTAGTGTCATCAAAGAAATTAAATTTACAGTTTCCTGTAAATTATAATTAAAAATTAAAAAAACATATTTGTGATATTTGAAACAAATACATTTGTTGAACTATTTAATTTATATTTGTTTTACACAAAAGTTGGAATAAATTGCATTATTTCATATTTTTTTATTAATATTTAACATTATTATTAAATGACTTAATAAATTATTGATAGATGGTGCTCATATATATAATTTTATCTTATTCAAAAATTTTCTGAAATGTCAAATTAAAAATCCTATTTTTTAAGATGTATTACGAAAAGTTTAACATGTTAGAATGTTACATATTAGAAAATAAAGCAAATTTTATATAAATTTTTAGTTATAGTACGATAATTTACAGGAAACTGTAACATTAATTTCTTTGACAACACCAAAAAGAAAAGTTTATTTTTAGCTTTATTCTAAAACAATAAGAAATAGACCCATCTAACCCTACATTTTTGTAATCAGAAAAAAATAACGAATTTAATAAGCGAATAATCGGTGGTTATTTCCATTTAAAAAAAAGAAAATTGTCATAATATGTCAAAATTTAAAACGAAAAAATTTATAACACAATAATAAAGAAAGTAAATATTCACGTATATAACACTAAGTCACTATTAGCACTTTATTTTTAAAATTGTTTATTAAAAAGTACTTAATTTATAAAACTTCTTATAACAACGTCTAAACTTTATTGTTAACTTAACCTTAATTAATGACAGTTATGATACTTTTGTCTCTTATTACTAGATGGCGTCCCGTGTAGATTTCTTCTTTCTTTCTTTATTTTACACACCATATTTTTTTCGTTTTGATGCAAGAACTTTATTATTCTTGAGTCCACATACTATTTTATCTCTAATTAACTCATCTTTCAAGTTTTTTGGTTTTTCTCGTTTCTAATTTTTGTGTTTAAGAGATTGCATTTAAATACATTTTATTCTGTACCAGCTCATTCTTCGTATTATGTCTTTTATAGATTAGATTTCCCAGGTGTTAAAAGAGATAATTTCTTTTGTATCTCTTTGGGCATCATTTTGCCTCGTACTTTTCCTTATTCCAAACATTTTGGCAAGAAAAATTTATTATTATTCAAAAAATTTTCTTTTTTTCATTCTAAGAATCGTTACAAACAATTTATTTAATCGTTTTTCCTGCACCGCATTATTGTTATCGAAGGCGAAGTAATTTAGTTTGCTATTCGAAGATATTTAAATTACCCCACTTGTAAAAGGTGTAGCACAACGACGTGCGGCGTAATGCGAGGTTGTTATCTCAATTGCCTCGGCGCGCGGCTTCGAAAAGAGACCGTCTCTTTTTCAAATCACAACCACTTTCCTTATATTAACTGAAATAACCGACGTCATTGCATCTGTCATAAAATTAAATTATAATAAATTATAACAAATCGTTATATCTCAGAGTTTAATTGACGCGTTAAAATGTCGAAAGGAAATTTTAAACAACGACTTTCCCGGAAATTTAAACGCGAAGAAATAGATTTACCCGACGAAAAAGATTTAAAAAAAGACCTCGAAATCGATGATCACATAATCTCATTGGACGAATTATGCGAAAGACACACCACCGATCCGATAAATGGTTTGCATTCGATGGTCGCAGAAGAACGATTAAGAATCAACGGTCCAAATTGTTTGGAATTACCGAAGGGGAAATCAAGTTGGGCGATTTTAGCTGCATACATGTTTGGGGGTTTTTCAATGTTGTTGTGGTTAGGAGCTTTTTTAAGTTTCGTAGGATTTGTTGTAACGTACTTGAAGACTTATGAAATGGAGGAGGAGCACTTGTATTTAGCCGGGTTGTTGATTACCATAAATTTAGTGACGGGTTTTTTTGGATTTTACCAAGAATCAGCTAATGCTAGTGTAATGCTTGGTTTTCAACGAATGATGCCAAAAGCGGCTAGGGTAATCAGAGATGGTCAGTTGCATGAAATTCCGTGCGAAGAACTCGTTTTGGGCGATTTGGTTTTTGTTGAGGCAGGATCTTGCGTTCCCGCCGATATTAGAATAATCACTTCGAACGTTTTAAAAGTTGATAATTCCTCGATTACTGGAGAATCCGAGCCTCAACTTCGCACACCAGCCGCGACGGATAAAAATCCTTTGGAGACGTCTAATTTGGCTTTTTATAGCACGAACGTCGTTGAAGGTAGTGGATATGGGATAATAGTAGCTTGTGGGAAAGCTACTTTAATGGGACACATCGCTGGGTTAGCTTCGACTCTTGTGGCGCAAATCACTCCGATACAAAGAGAAATCAATTTTTTTATTAAAATAATAACCTGTTTGGCTTTATTAGCTGGGGGGTTATGTTTCGTTTTGGCTCTCACTTTGGGTTATGATATTTTTATGGCTTTTGTGTTTTGTATTTCGATAATAGTCGCGAATGTCCCCGAGGGATTAATGGTGACATTAACTGCTTCTTTGACTTTAACGGCGAAAAGAATGGCGAGAAAGAATTGTTTGGTTAAAAACCTCCAAGCGATTGAAACTTTAGGCTCAACGAGCGTTATTTGTTCGGATAAAACTGGAACGTTGACTCAGAATCGAATGACGGTCTCTCACTTTTATTACGATGATAAAATCGTTGATGTTCTTGATGAAGATTATGCGTTTGAAGATAGTGTTGCGTTGTTGAGGTTATGTCGCGTTGGGATTTTATGCAGTAAGGCTACGTATCATAACGAAGATTTGGATTATCCGATTGAGGAGAGGAGGATAATCGGGGATGCGAGTGAGAGTGGGGTTTTTAAATGTATGGATGGGTTGTTCCAAAACGTGTTGGATCAGCGCGAGGTTTCACCAAAAGTTGCAGAAATCCCATTTAACTCAACTAATAAATATCAAGTTTCAATTCACGACACATTCCAAGGTTACGTCGTGGTGATGAAAGGAGCTCCTGAAAGGATCTTATCACGCTGCTCAACGATTGTGATTCAAGGCCAAAACGTCGATATTGGACCATATCGAGCTCGCGTCGATAAAGCGATGTTGGACATCGGATATATGGGGGAAAGAGTTCTTGCATTTGCAGATTACGAACTTCCTCTTCAACAATATCCAAGAAGCTACAAATTCGACACTCAAAAACAAAATTTTCCTTTGGAAGGATTAAGATTTTGCGGATTAATGTCGCTAATTGATCCCCCAAAACTCGGGGTTCACGAGGCCGTTTTAAAATGCAGAACAGCAGGTGTTAAAGTGGTTATGTTAACCGGGGATCACCCGGTTACCGCAACAGCCATTGCAAAAAAAGTCGGAATTATCGGCCCTGATAGCGTAACAGTTTATGACATAGCGATGCAGCGTGGTATTCCCCTAACTGCATTAAAACCGGAAGATCGAGAACGTTGCAACGCAATCGTTGTTGCCGGACCGGAATTAAGAGAAATGGAGGATTATCAAATCGATGAGATTATTCAAACATACAAAGAGATCGTTTTCGCGAGGACGAGTCCTCAACAAAAACTTCAAATAGTTGAGGCGTTTCAAAGAAATAATTTTATAGTTGCAGTGACCGGAGATGGAGTAAACGATTCTCCAGCTTTAAAAAAAGCTAATATTGGAATCTCGATGGGAATATCCGGGTCGGAAGTATCGAAAGAAGCGGCTGATATGATTTTGTTAGACGATAATTTCGCAACGATTGTCACGGGGATTGAAGAGGGGCGATTAATTTTTGATAACCTCAAAAAGACGATTGGATATCTTTTAACTTCGAATATACCGGAAATATCGCCGTTTCTTATGTACGTTTTTATCAGTATTCCTCAAGCGTTGAGTGTAATGGCAATTATGGTTATTGACGTTGGAACTGATTTATGGCCAGCAATTAGTTTAGCTTATGAAAAACCGGAAGCGGATATAATGAGGCATGCTCCAAGAGATCCAAATAAAGATACTTTGGTTAATTTGAAATTAATTTTATTCACTTACGTTCAAATCGGTGTTGTTCAAGCTTGCGCGAGTTTTTCGTGTTATTTTTATATAATGGAAAGTTATGGATTTTGTTTGGATCGTCTTCTTGGGATTCGCGTCGAATGGGAGGATAAATACAACAATGCCGTTACGGATTGTTACGGACAAGAGTGGACTTATTTCGAACGAAGAGTTTTAGAACGAAAAGGATATTCCGCGTACTTTATGTCTTTCGTTTTAACCCAAGTTGCGGATGTTATAATTTGCAAAACACGAAGATTATCAATTTTTCGGCAAGGAATGAGTAATTGGGTTCTAAATTTGGGTTGTATTTTCGAAATGGGATTAGCTGCTTTTGTCGTTTTTTGCCCCTATGTTAATCACGCGTTAAGATTCGAACCGATCGTTTTGGATTGTTTATTACCGGTAATTCCGTACTGCCTCTTTATTATTATTTACGACGAAATAAGGAGGTTAATTATTAGAAGGAGACCCGGTGGTTGGATTGAAAGAGAGACTTATTTCTAATTTTTTAATCTGTAGGATTTTTTGCATGAATAAAAAATGACATATTTGTAATCTTCATTAAAAATCCTTTAAAATGAGTACAAACACGACATATTTATCTTCAATATTAATGAAGTTATGCTCAACTTCCGGTTACGAATGTCAATTTTGACATATTTGTAATCGTCGTGAAAAATCCTTTAAAATGAGTACAAACACGACATATTTATCTTCAATATTAATGAAGTTATGGTCAACTTCCGGTTTGAAATGTCAATGTCATTTTGACATTCTTAATTTTTATAAAATATCTTAATATTTGTCACAAAAACAAAAATATAATAAAAAAAATAAAAAAGTAAGGTTGGTATTAATATTTAAAAATTCATTGTTGCTAACTTCCGGTTTAATGTTTTTTATTCTAACTTTTTTGTTTTTTGAGATAAGTGCATCATGTTTGGACTCATTTTAAAGGTCTTTTAATGAAGATAACAAATATGTCAAAATTGACGTTGACGTTTCAAACCGGAAGTGATTGTATTTCCATTAATATTAAAGTTAAATATGTCGAGTTTGGACTCATTTTAAAGGATTTTTTATGAAGTTGACAAATATATCAAANAAGATGACAAATATGTCAAAATTGACGTTGACGTTTCAAACCGGAAGTGATTGTATTTCCATTAATATTAAAGTTAAATATGTCGAGTTTGGACTCATTTTAAAGGACTTTTAATGAAGATGACAAATATGTCAAAATTAAACTTTAAAAAGTTGTAAAATTAAATTAAGGACGAACTGTTATAAGTTTACAGGTTAAAATTTAGAAACGCTCTTTTTTTTAAAAGAAATATTAAGAATCTTGGGAAAAATTCAAGAATCATTATGTAGCTTAAAAATCGACGATTTTTTTAATCAATGTGAAATTACCCAAAAAACACGTTAAAAACAAAAAGACAGTGCGGAAAAGTGACCAACACTAGATTAACTTCAGTTATAAAACTTCTATTACATGATAATTTAATCAGATTTAAAATGTCAACCTCAATTTTGACATATTTGTAATCTTGATTAAAAATCCTTTAAAATGAGTACAAACACGACATATTTATCTTCAATATTAATGAAGTTATGGTCAACTTCCGGTTAAGAATGTCAACGTCAATTTTGACATATTTGTAATCGTCGTGAAAAATCCTTTAAAATGAGTCCAAACATGATACGTTTAATTCCAATATTACTCGAGATATAAGCAACTTCCGGTTTGAAATGTCAATGTCATTTTGACATATTCTTAATTTTTATAAAATGTCTTAATATTTGTCACAAAAACAAAAATATAAAAAAAAAAAATAAAAAATTAAGGTTGGTATTAATATTTAAAAATTAAATTGCTATCTTCATTGTTGCTAACTTCGGGTTTAATGTTTTTTATTCTAACTTTTTTGTTTTTTGAGATAAGTGCGTCATCTTTGGACTCATTTTAAAGGTTTTTTAATGAAGATGACAAATATGTCAAAATTGACGTTGACGTTTCAAACCGGAAGTGATTGTATTTCCATTAATATTAAAGTTAAATATGTCGAGTTTGGACTCATTTTAAAGGATTTTTAATGAAGATGACAAATATGTCAAAATTAATCTACAAAATTAAAGTTTAAAAAATTGTAAAATAAAATTAAGGACGAAGTGTTATAAGTTTACAGGATAAAATTTAAGAACGCTCTTTTTTAAAAAGAAATTAAGAAACTTGGGAAAAATTCAAGAATCATTATGTAGCTTAAAAATCACACTACCGTCACTGCCTCTTTATTATTATTTACGATGAAATACAGAGATTAATTATTAGAAGAAGACCCGGTGGTTGGATTTTTAATTTTTTAATCTGTAAAAGATTTTTTGCATGAATAAAAAATGTTTTAAACTGAACAGGTTTTGCGTCGACTCCCTGGGGGGCAAAATAATGGCGCAAAATGCCCCACATTTCTTATACCGGAGACGCCAACTAATGTCCAAGCAATTTATACCTCTTTATAAGCGAATTTAACACATCCTTTCCTGAATTTACTCCAATTTGCACCTGTTTATACTTAAACCTAATTAAAATTGATGTTATTTAAACCATTTTAACTATAATTTAAATCAACAATTCTTCAATAACAACTTTTTGAATATTTTAATTTGTTAATATCGAGGTCGCTTTGTTACTACAGTAATCAAGAGCTTCCTGGCTAAAATTACTAGTTAGTTATTAATCTAAATAATGTTTAATAACCATAAATATATCTTTAACTAATGATTACATCCTTAAGGCTTATGGTGTGATGACCACTTTTTTACCTCAAATCGAGGACATGTCATATTCTCACGATTCTCAAACCACATCATGAAAATAACATCTCGAAGTTGCGCGAAAACTAATTACAACAAAATTGATTAATTTTGAAGACTTTTATTTGAATGCAATCGCTTTGCTAAATTAGACGAGCTAATTGTGTTTCTGTAATAAGACCGCATAGAAAACATACAGTATTATAAGCAAAAACCGTTTGTAGTAAAAACGCCGAGGTCGCTTGCGGCCGAGGCGCTAGAGTTGAATTGACAGCTCGGTCTCAAACGACCTAGGCTAAATCAGACGAGTTTCTATACCATACCACATGGTAACCGTATGATACCATAATAAACAATCATTTATGTTCAAAATGCCGAGGTCGCTTGCGGCCGAGGCAGTGGAATTAATATCATAGTTACATTACGTTGATGATATTAATTGTAGTGCCTCGGTCTCAAGTGACGTAAGTAGTAAACCAGTGTTTTCTTTAATACCTTTTTTCAGAAAATTTTATTAATATTATCATACAGTTTTTGTATCATAGCATAAACTAGGATCTCCAAGCTTCAATTTAATACATACATCATATCATTACCATTAAAAATAGAGATGATATGATTTTTAAAAAATATGATGTCATTTTATACTTGCAAATTTGACAGTGTTTTTTTTAATATCTTTTTTCGGGAAATTTTATTAATATTATGATATAGTTTTTATATCACATCATAAACTAGAATCTTCAAGCTTTAATTTAACATATACACCATATCATTACCATTAAAAATAGAGATCATATGATTTTTAGAAAATATGATGTCATTTTATACTTGCAAATTTGACAGTGTTTTCTTTAATACCTTGTTTCAGGAAATTTTGTTAATATTATCATAAAGTTCTTATATCATATCATAAACTAGGATCTCCAAGCTTTAATTTAACATATACATCATATCATTACCATTAAAAATAGAATTGATATGATTTTTGGAAAATATGATGTCATTTTATACTTGCAAATTTGACAGTGTTTTCTATAATACCTTTTTTCAGAAAATTTTATTATTATTATCATACAATTTTTATATCATATCATAAACTAGGATCTCCAAGCTTTAATTTAACATATACATCATATCATTACCATCAAAAATAGAGATGATATGATTTTTACAAAATATGTCATTTTATATTTGCAAATTTGACAGTGTTTTCTTTAATACCTTTTTTCAGGAAATTTTATTAATATTATCATACAATTTTTATATCATATCATAAACTAGAATTTTCAAGCTTTAATTTAACATATACATCATATCATTACCATTAAAAATAGAGATGATATGATTTTTAGAAAATATGACGTTACTTGCAAATTTGACAGTGTTTTCTTTAATACCTTTTTTCAAGAAATTTTATTAATATTATCATACAGTTTTTATATCATATCATAAACTAGGATCTCCAAGCTTCAATTTAACATATACATCATATCATCACCATTAAAAATAGAGATGATATGATTTTTAGAAAATATGATGTCATTTTATACTTGCAAATTTGACAAAGTGATGTATAACGCGGTCCAATTAGTTTAAAATCTAATCAAAGTTTGAAATTATCGCTGATCAATTAATACAAACCTCATGAGATTGGAATTAGTTGTAAACTAAATTTGCTTTGAGCCGTGCTATCGATTATTTGAAAATGAATTGTCGTGTACGTTAATCGGATTTGGTTGGAATAACGCGGGAATAGCGTTTTTGGATGGAAATGGGATAAAGGGAGTGGTGGTGATCCGGCGTTCGTTGTCGGTCGGTTCGTATTAAGCCCCCAATTAAAAACGTCTGGGAACCGAGGCAAGTCTTGTGAAAAATGCATTCCGGCGTTCCGCCAGCCCCACACACACAGAAAGAGAGGAAGTGCAGCACAAACGGCTATCGATCGCCCCAGAGGTGCTGCGTTTTTTTCTTCTTCCTACTTCAGCAGTCTGCAGCAAAACGGTCTCGACAAAAGTGCCCGTTTCAATTTACACAAATTAGAAACGTTACTAAATCGCCTTTTTAATGGTTAATTATCAAAACCCTTATAAGGTGGTCAAATACAGTTAATTAATAAACCTCAATGAGGTCGTATGCATTTTTTTTAAAAGGAAGTTAAAAAAAGACCATTAACTCTTCGCGAGAAATGTCGTGACGGAACATTCCGTTTATTGAAGGTAATCACTCGTAGAAGCTAATTGATTCGTTCTTCGAGATGATGTTGGCTTAATGACTCGGGTAATTGAGTCACCACGTGGATTGGTCACGTGTCAAAATTTACACCTCTTAAATCTTCTTCATTCTTCGCCTAGTTTCTTTATTTCCAATTGTTGTTAGTTTAAAAAATAGAAATTCCTTTAGCCAATGAAAAATGAAAAACAGTTATATGACCCACTCTGTATGATATGATGGGAAGATTTAGGTAACCAAAATAATAATGATTTTTTGAGTTAACAAAGAAAGCCTATTCTTGTAATATCCTCTTGTATTATACCTATACAAGATAGTCTCGTCGTGACCTAAAACCCGTCTTTGTCTACATCTTCGTCTTCGTTTTCTTTCTTTCTTCGGATGGACACAAAGAGGAGTGAGTGAGGTTAACTTCACCGATATGACCGGTGAGGTTATAAAACGGCCGCGAGCCATTC